CATATGTGGAGTACGCTGAAAAGGTTTGCCAAGCACTGCCATTTTTTTTTTTTTTTTTTAGTAAAAATTTTTTCTTAAAGCATACAGAGAGCTATGACTTAGGCTCTGGAAAATCGTGGAGCCTTTAAAAAAGTCATTCTTCTGTGTTTCCCCACACATCCACATCCACTCCCTTTCAGGTTTGTATTAATCAACAGCAGAAAAGTGTGTCACACAGTTTAGAGGCTACTGTATTTAGAAGAGAAACCAGCACAGAATGCCACGAGATCTATTTTAGAATATTGAACCTGCAAACATATGTGTTTTGTAAAATAATTAGGAAAAAGTAGTACAAAATTACATTATAATTTATCCTAACCGAGACCAATGTGTATTCAAAAAGCTGTTTATTTTAGAAATACTTTGGTGGTTCCATTAGAGATGAGAGTATAGCTTGTGTCATCAGTTTTTCCAAGTGTGTGCATGAGGCAGTGTAACTACTATAGAAAGAAAAAACAGGTTGTATTTTTGATTCCTGAAGAGCAAGGAATATAAATCCTCCATTTTAAAATAAGAGGCGTAATATGCCTTTTGGCTTCCAGAAAAACGATATTAAGAGTGTGGTCAGCTGTTTGGCATTGGAAGTAAGATTTTCTGCACATCCACTTTCTCTTTTTGAAACCACAGCTCAATGATGACTGTAAAGATTAGGATGTGGGGCTCCCCGTCCCCATTTTTTGCCTTTGGTTATTTTGTCCTGGCTTGTGGAAAGAAGTGTGGGCCGAAACTAGTGCTCCTGTGGCAAGGAGTCTTGCCCATGGGCACAGATTTAAAGGCAAAGATGGAACTCCTCAGTAGAATGCTTGTTGCTTAACTGGTATGCATGTGGTGGAGAAACCAGAAAAGGTTACCTTATTTTTTTTTTTTTTTTCCTTTTCCTTCATTTTGGGCTGTCAACTCTGTCTCTTGTCTCTTACAGTTTAGGGTGTCCCCTTCCCCCTTCTTATGTGCTCCAGAAAGTAATTCTTATTTTTAATTCCAGGAAAGTTGGAGTTATGTTGCAAGTTCCAAGTTCAGCTGTGGTTTTAAATAGTACTGACAGTTCGAAAAGTTTCCTTAACTGTAGAGATCTGAGTAGCTTCTACTTCCTATTTGCAGTAGCAGTGTATTGGCATAGATTTCCTCAATCTTTTAAAGCCCAGCCCCACATATTTGTTTATCTTGTCACCTCTTTCTTCTTGTATATTTTGTAGAGCAGCGGGAGGAGGAAGTGACTGTATTGCTAATCATCTTCCACTTTTTTTTCTTGATAGCTTTTCAGAAAAAAATTATTCCAACTTTGTGCATAAGTAAAAATAAATCTCTGTTCAGTGCCTTTCAGATGTAGCTATCAAATCTGATTCAGAAGACACTCTGATTCAAAGAATATTACAGATAATCTGAACTCAGTCTTCTAGACCTGAGAATTGACTTAGTGGACAGTATCGTGGCCTGTGAGGTAGATGCATTCAATATGGGTAACACCTTTTGCAGATGCAAAGGTGTTCACTGTTGTACTTGTTTCAGCTCAGGAGAGGAGCATTGTGATGCTTGATACTTGCAGTTGAACCTAAAATATGGAAAGGTGTTTCCTTATTCTTCCTTTGAGCAAGAAGTGCTGGTGTTTGAGTGGGATGAAAAACCTCTAGTTTCTAGAGGTCTTTGTAGCAGCACATGTGTTCCATTTGTTATTAAATAGCTTTATATGTGTAACTTTTTAAAATATTTTTGATAGGGTGCTTATATTCTTGTGCGAGGATGAAAAATACTTCTGCTTCTAAAATATATTCTGGTTCCAAACAATTTGTCATGAGGCATATTGCTTTTTTAGCATCTAAAAAGGCTGGTGATGTGGCTTTGACAGTTTAGCTGTCAACATTTTCTTCTTTTTTTCTTCAGAGTTTGGATGATTTGTTACATTTGTTTGTTAAACTACAGTAAAAATAGCCATTTCATTCCTAATAAGTATTTTGAATAGAGTGGCATTATTGTAGGATGATGAAGAACACTTTTGGTTTTGAGAGTGGAGGAGAAGTTTGCTGATCAAATAGAGAACCGCCATGTTTTTTTCTTCGTTCTTTTACAACATTTGTGGGGGTTTTCTTCCTCATTTTTTGAGACCAAGGACACTGTTCTCTTAAACTTGCTAATGGGATCAAATCAGCTTAATATAGAGCATGCCATTTGATCATAAAGTTGATTGCTTACACCCGGCTTTGATTGGAGCAAGCTTAGTGGTCATTTGGAATATACTGAGCGCAAATGTAGCTTATACCATTTCATCTTGGCTGCTTCTCAAGCTCAATTTGGTACAATGCAGCCCTTGTGCTATTGTGAAGTCTTTGAACTGAACATCTCCTGTATTTATCTACTATGTAAGCACTTGATTTTTTTAGGATTTTAGCCAAACAATTTTTGAAAAGTAAAAAAAATTGGCATATTTAACACTGTTCATTTGTTACTGTGTTATGCTTGCATAACAACTTTCATTTTTACCATTTCCTTTGCTAAATTACAGTGATCCTCAGTTTATCCCAGTGGTTCTGTTGTTGGCCCCCAAAGAGAGTTTAAATCTCCTACGAAAGGCTTTTGTGTGCATCTGAAATGCCATATTCAGTCAGTAACCCAAAACTGAATGTCTTTTTTTTTATTTCAGGATTGTGGATGGTCTTTTTCTGTTGTTCTCCCCTGCCCCAAATGAAAACTAAGAGAGCTGAGGACTAAAGATACTAGATTGAATTTGCTGCATCTTTGCTTAACTACTGCTGAAATTTCTGGGCATAGTAGCAAGGGTTGAAAGTGCTTTACTCCACTACTAATTCTTCTGTTAACTCTTTGTGATGCTCTTGTAAAATATGCTAGTGCTCTATTCTTTATGATACAGTAATGCAGGAAGTGGATAAGGTAAAAGAGAAACTTAAATACAGAAGCAGAAATTTCTGAGGTGTTTCATAGTGTCATGAAATTAAAAATGTAAGAAGGTTATACAGAAGTCTATGTTCCTTTATAAGCAGTAACTATTCTGAAATACTGCAAGCTCTTCGAGCACTAGAGGTCCAGTCCACCAAACATGAAAGATGTGTGTGAATAAATACAAGAGTATAGACCCAAGTAATGACTAAAATACAGGTCTTCTACTTTGCAGTAGTAATCACTAATGTGCACCTAGTCACATTAGATCTTCTTGTGATAATTATTGATTGCTTTTTAACTACAAGGCAAATAGTCAAGATTTCCTCAAAATAATGTTTTTCATGAAAATTAAGATTTAAATTCATAGTCCCAACTGCTAAATTGAAAAATCAGGCTTCAGGTTTTCTCCTTAAATGCACTTTTACCACACTTCATTGTCAGCTGAATTTTGTACGTTATGAGGCTAAGTACTGTGTTCTGCACAACTCCTATTATTATGCTTTTTTCTTGTGTATCTCCAGATAAAAGTCTTTGCTTCTACTCAAGTCCTTGAAAATTAGTGTCAGTTGTTACCGTTCTGAAGGTTTAACTGTGGATGGCTTATATGCTGTGAATTGTTGGTTCAGGAACGGTAGAAGTGTTCCCCTTGACTGCCCTGCTGATGGCTTGATTCAGTTGTTACAGCCAAGTCTGTGCTGCTCGGTTGGAATAGATTTCTGCTCTTGACTTTGGGGAAGTCTGTAGGTTCAAATTTGTGTTGAGAAACTCTTGAATCAGTTCTATACTACTCAGAATGGCAGTTTTAAGTTGATGATTCCCTATGCCTGTACTATTTTTTTTTCCTTGAATATGTGTACAAATATTAGTTAAAAAAAAAAAAAAAAAGCACAGCACAAAATAGCTTTTCTTCTCTCCCCCTCTCTTAAAAATGTATAGTTTCCAGTAACTGAAGCAGATACGGGCTAAGTCCGCATTTACTGTTAGAAATATAATAGCTGTTAATCTTTTGGGCCTTTTGTTCTCCTATTTCCCCCATTGTCATTATTTGTCCAAAAAATACTTCATTGTAGTGGATTACAGATATACAGCATAAAAGGCTGTCAGCAAAGTGACAAGTAGGGAGGAGGTGGAGAGAATATTGAAATCTCTTGGGTTTTATATTATTTTAGCTATTCTTTCTCAGTAGGCTCATCAGCTCAGAGGATGTTCTGAGATTTGACCTGTAATTATTTTATATTTATTAGGTAGACACACTGCTCAAAAAAATGCACAGTTTGGTATGTGTATACCTATGTGGCGTATGTAACACTGTCAGTAATCCTAGGAATGTGATTTGAGGAGAAAAATATTTTTACATACTTTGTGTTTTCCCATAATGCTGAAAGTACATGCCTAGGTTGAAATGAAGTGATTAGCATCTGCTGTGAATAGTGCTTGGGGAGGTGATCAGTGTAAATACTGGATTAGCACAAGGGCAGACTGACCATCCTACCTGCCTCGTAGAACAAGGAGTTAGATTGGGTTATCATCTTAGGTTCCTATTACACAGGGAAGGTATTTTTTATAAGTTGAGAACAGTGTTTTGCTGCCTTGCATGTGACAAAGAAGTTTCCATTTGCTTCGATTCTTTATTAGAAGTTCTTTTTAAAGGAGAAATTACTTGGCCACATTTTTGACTGGTGAACTTAAAAACAGTGTTATGATGAGTAGCATAATAGCTTTCAGTCTTGAACACTGGCTTTTTACTGAGATACATAAACAATTGGATGAGTGTTTTATTATTTGAATTGGGATGTGCCTTTTGTATAACTGACAGAAGACTCTAACCAACTTTCCTTCAACCATTTGAGTGAAAGTGTGCTGAATTGATGGGAAATGGCCATTGATGCATTAGGAAAAATACTGCAGAACAATGCACAATTATTTTGTGACAATTTGTATCTATTAGCAGATAGGACTGGAAGCATGTCACACTGCCATCTACAAGTAAAAATAACCAGCACCGTTTGGAGTAAATGTAGATACTGTTTTTGTAGCACCAGTAACACTTTTTTTTTTTCTTTCTTTAGGTTCTTGATTGTTACAGACCATTTGCTGAAATGTCCAGAGTTGGTAAAAGCCCTCTATGCCAAACTGAGCAATCAAGAAAGGTAACCCCAAAAACCAATGTGGCTTTTAGTATTTAGCATTCCATATAGAGTATCCTGTTCACATGATTGAAAAACTGTGTGGTTTCATAGTTGGCACAAAATCTCTAAATACATGTTTCTATGTCAGTAATGGTTTTAAATTGGTTGGTTAACATTACAGCTTAGCCACAACTGGCAGTGATTTATGTAGGGTTGCAGAATCCAGGTTGGCGCCATTACTTGGTAAAGAAACACTTTACAAAAAAAAAAAAAAAAAAAAAGAAAAAAGACAAGATTTCATGCCTGTGACTTGATTTCATAAGAGCACCACACCCAGCAGTGTTTTACAGCTGTATTTGAAGTGTCCTCAGCTGTTCATACTTCTGTTGTAATTACAAGAAATTAAAAGGAAGCCTTTACTGAAGTTGGAAGTGTGTCTAATACTGGTTAGCAGAACCAAAAAAATGTAGATGTGCAGATGCCCATGATTACTTAATCTTTTACTGTTTCCACTATTGAAAATATAAAATGCGTCAATAAACCTTCACCTGAAAAGAATCTAGCTAGTTTTCCTTCAAGCGTTTGTGTAAATGTGTGCTGAATTGATGGGAAATGGCCATTCCTATAATCGAGAAGATGTTTATTTACAACTGCTTTAACAGAGATTCGGGGAAGATAAATATGTTGTTAGAATGGTCAACTTCATGAACTCCTGTACTATATTTCTACAGCTTCTCCAACTACCTGAAGAGCTTGTGGTCTTGTTCATGTATTGAACATGGCTACTTTGTTCCCCATTTGCTCAGGGAAACTGCAAGTTCCCACTATAGTTTTTACAGGTGAAGGACAAAGCAGTAAACAAAGTAGTCCCTTCATGTCTTTTTTTCCCCTATGTTTTTTGCTGTGATTAAAGCCACAGTATTATTACAGATGGAGATACAGATGCTGATCAGAGATTATGAAGAGATGAAAGGGATGGCAGGCAAAGAAAGAGTATATGATAGGTTGAGAACCATAGATAAAACATCATTAATGTATAGGTATGGGATGGAAAACAAGGAATAGGAATGATAAGGAGGGAAGTACTGTCTTCTTCCTTTATTCAGGCTGACCAAATGGGAACAAATGTGTGCTTACTGTGCCTGGATATAGGGGCTCCTTAACCAGTTAGCAGGAAAGACTGTTTTAAGTGAATGAGCTAGATGTAATTTTTTGGGGCAGTGTCATGAATGGCAGTTTGGTTGTGTGTTTTCATAATCCCCTTGAGGACAGCCAGGTCTGGGTTAGGGTGTTCAGTTGTACTTAAAGCAATAGATGTAGTAAGTGTCTAGAGTGGTCTCAGCTGGATTTGCTGCATACACCGTGCTGCAGATGGAGATGGGCTACCTTGACTGAAAGGCTTTTGGTGTAGGCATCATGTAGATGATCACATGCGGTACGGCTAGTCACAGCATATTTGCTGAATTTATTATCAATCCCAAGAGTTCTGCAAATCAAGCAAACTCAATTAAGTTTTTCAAAAACATAATCACAGTACAGTTTATTATGAATTTGATGCTGCTTAATTTACTGTCAAACATATGGACGTAAGTGGTATGGAAATAGTCCTTTTGCATCTCAGTTATAGAAGAAAACCGTGCTATGGTATCTTCCTGTATTCTGTTAGCATATTTAAGAAAGCATTCTTTTGAGATATATGAGGAGACAAATCCAATTCAGATAAAAACATTTTGACTGTCATTAACTGGAGGAAAAAGTAACCGTATAAACCAAAGCATAGGGAATTCATTGTTTCAGAATGAGACAAGGAGCCTTCACCGCAAGTGTTGCCGCATTGGGTGTCCAATAAGGCTGACTAAGTCATATAAATGAAGAAAGGACAGATGTGGTATTGAGGTGTCTGGGGAAAGCAGCTTGAGCTCATAAATATATGGTAACTCAGTTACAGTATTCTCTATCATGCCCATTAAATACACTTACTTTAAATGTATTTACTGAAACGTAATTAACTGTGCTGAGAAAGTTTGCGAATACATACGTTAGTGGTGACTCTTAAAGTTGGCAGTTGCCTTAGATAACCAAAGTATATGCAGTTGCATAACCGCAGTTATTTGCACTATTCACAGTATTCGCACTATTCAAAGTATTTCCTGTAATTGAAATCTAGTGCATTTGTGATACAGTGGCCATGGTGCAATGCCATGAAGTACTTCTTGTCGTAGAAGTGGATCTGGAGTCTGAATTTTCAATTAAAAAAAAAAATCCTGACTTCTGGACAACTTTCTATTTCATTTCCAAACAAATTTAAGCACTTTGGTATTGCATGTCTGAGTTTGCAAATGGCCTGAAATAAATACTGTGATAATATGATTATCTTTTTTTAATGGTATTCTGGCTTTGAAAAGTGTATGATGATGTGACAACGCCTGCTGTTTCTCTGCAAGTGATTATTGTAGAAACATATGGCTACGTTGTGGAGCCAAAAGATTGTAGATTCTTGAATTCTTTGCCAGATTTGAGATTTCCCTGCACGTGTGCAAGTATTTGGCAGAAGTATTTTTAAAAAACTTGGTTTGCTTTAATCCAAGTTAGCCTTGAGCACAGACAATGTAAGTTAATGCCTTGATAGTCTTAATTACATTGTAAAATCTTCAAAATGTGTACATGCGTGTTGTCCTTTTTAAGATGGGGTCTTGCTTTAATTAACAGCAACAAAAATGCAAATGAGTAGCAACTGAATAGCTTCAGGTGTTTTTAAGATGCTCAACTACTTGCATCTTTAGTTCTGAGTTTTGTGTTATTTCATGTGAAGTGTGCTCGGTGAGTGATGTAGCCATTGATCGAATTACCAGCCTGGAAATGGGCACTCAAGTAGTGTAAGCAGCGCCACTTCTTGCTTATGATCAGTTACAGGGCTGTTAATGTCAATATTGTGGTGAGGTTTTGTTCTTGGTGGTGCTCACAGACACAGAATAGCTGAAGGTAGCACTGGATTATAGTCCTTCACAAAGTTACCAATTTTCAGTTAACAGGATGCTTACAAGTGTTGTTCGAAGATGAAAGAACTGACAGTTTCGAGGAAGGACCCAATTTGTCTCATAGAACCATTGCTGTCAGTGAAGTGTTTCAGGGAAGAGAAGTCCCAGCCGCAGAGGAAGAATGTCCCAAGTATCTGGGACTTGCTAAGAGGTTATAAACCAAGAATGCTTGATACAAAAATTATTGGAATAATAAAATTGATAGAATTTTACAATACTGTTTTTAGACAGGCTTATCAAGACTTCACTTTATTTGGTAATAATGAGCTAAATTGCCCTTTAATGTTGCGGTTCATTTGCAGACTATAGGAGACAGCAATATGTTTTACTGATGATGGCAAATACTTCGTAGTAGTTGTTCCAAGTTCTTGCCAATTTGGTCAGCTTCAGGAAGAACTTGTTTAAATTTGTCGGGGGTGGGGGTGGGGTGGGGGGAGTGGGGCAGGGAAAGAAAGAGGTTGACAAAAAGTTTTAAGTGGTGCCTAAAGAAATGGAAGATGACACTTACGGCATGTTTATTTCCAAGTAGAAATATAATAATACACAATGTTAGATTTCTGATGTGGAACTGAGTGTTACAAAAATTCATTATGAGATATGCTAAACATGGTATTAACAGTTGTCGTATCTGCTGTATTTAGCTATAGGCAAACAAATAGGAACAAACTCAGTCATCTGAATGGCTAAAAGGCTGTGAGATTGTTTAAAAGAAATGAGTAAATTGCATTGTGTGGGAGAAGTAACTTGGAAAGTTTGGGGTGAGTCTTGGAAGAAAACTGAGAGAAACAATAGAAGAAAGGAATGTAAGGGAACTTGCACCAGAACAAAAAGCGTTGCTCTCAAGAAATTGTTGGCTGAATGGCAAGACTTGCTTGAAATTCAGGGGAAAGATGGGCATGTCATGAATGACTGTGCCTGGAAGAAAACTCGGGAAAACATTTTTGACATGAATGCCTAAAGAGAACAGAAAACTTTAACAGAAGTTACATACAGGTGGTGTTTTAATGTCACTCCTATTTCTCTGAAAGGATCATGGTTGTCTACAAGAGCACCCATTTATATTGCAAGAGGAAGAGTAATGCAAAAAATTTCCCTATTGGCAAAAATTTCATCTCACTAATACAGTTTTTGGAAGCATGTGGTGACCCTCCAACTTCTTTACAGAAGAATTGCTTGTCATTTTTAAGTGTGTATTATTTGGATTATTTGTGAAAGAGTAGGTGACTAGAATTCTGTTATGCAGCAGATAAACTGTTACTGGAATAATTCCTGTAATCATAAAGTCTGTGAGCAGCCTCTTTTCTTAGCTGAGCATATGCTTGAAAGACTAAACTTGGTAAAAACGGGCATGTAAAATCTAGCCCTGTCTTGGGGATGAATGACACGTCTGTGCACTTAACCTGATTTTTGTATAGTATGCCAAATCTGAAAGCCTTCGTTCAGTTAGGGATGTTGGGTAACTGGGCTCTGGTAGTTTGTGGATGGTCAAGTGTGTGGTACCCAGCTGTAACCTGCAGAACAAACAGAATGACTGTTCTGTGTTGGTGCTGCATCACATACGTAAGCGAAGCCTGTGAGAGAGGTTACCAGTGTTTGACAGCCTTCTCTCTGGAGTCCACCCTTTCTCAAATGTGTTGAGCGCATTTCTGTGCTACCATGATGAAAAAGCTTTTTGTCTTCATTCAGATAATTGTTTAATGCAGCTTTATTAATGACATTGAGGGTTGAGTTTAGCAAGAACTGAGTAGCTGCTGCATGATTAATAGGGGTGGGTTCTTGGAGGTTAATAAAGCAGTGACCATGCTTTTTCCACAGAAGAAGACATTTCTCTTCCCCTTGTGACAACCTGCTTGGTAAATTAAAAAAAAAAAAAAAAAAAAAAAAAAGAAAAAGCATTTGAACTATCCACATGTTTAAATGTCAGTCCTTCCATCTGAATTGCAAATATTTTAGTGAAAGAAAACCCTGATCCTGCTCTTGAATTCATTCAATAAATAGCGCTCTTTCAGGCTGAGAGAATTACAGCGGGACTTTGCTTACCCATGTGCTCCTCTGCACTGGAGTTGAACGGGGAAGCTGTAGGAGGGCCTCTGGCACATGAAAGTCCTGCTCCCACAAAATACACCCGGTTTGCCCTAACGGCATGAAGGGATATTGGAAATAAATCGACAGTAAAGCTGTTAAAATAAATGACCCAAGTACGTTTTATAGAGCAGCTTCGTTATGTATCCACTTATTTTCTGGTTTAATACACTGAGTACCTCTTACTGGGTATATGAGCTATTAACTTGGATTTACTGCCGTCCATCTAGTGGCAATTATAAAACAGCTGTAAAGAACCAAGTGTACATATCAATTTTTATTTCCCCTGTTTCTGCTCAGAATTGGTTTGGGGTTGGGAAGGAGAATTAGTGAACGACTGCATGGAAGGCAAGGGCTGTGAAAAGCTGGTATTTTCAAACGGAAGCTGTCAAATAGTCTGTGTTTATTTTGCTGAACTTAACAACAGCTTTTAAGAGCTGTTTTGGTGGAAATTTTAGACATACGGGATATGCAGTCACAGTAATGTTGTGTTAGGACGTAAGAAATTAGAAATTGAAATAGACTTGAGAAAAATATTGACTTGACTGTCTGGCCAGATTGTATTAATTGAACGATGAATTAAATTAATGGTGTGCAGAAATAAAGTGGCGAACAGGAACTGATTGCCAGTGTTCATAAGACTTACTAATTTTTAAAAATCAGCTCTGTTACTAGCATGCTAATTGTTTGTATCATTTTTAACATTTTATCATGTATCATTTTATTCTACTGATAATTCTCTATATGGATTAGTTAATTTGATTAACAAGTTGTTTTTTGATTCTAGAGTTACTTTATTAGAGCTGATGCTGGCAAAGTTAAGTGAGAAGAACACAGTTACCAGTGAAGAAATTAATGTGTTCATGAGACATGCTGACTTCCTTGCAGGCTGTTTTCAAGAGAAATGTGAAGCTGTGCTCAAGTTAACTTCTGTAGCAGATGCAGAAGATGAGGTATGATTGATAATAAACCCATTATAGTACTAGAATCTGAAGTGGTGAATCTTCATTGCCACTATTAGCTAAGTGGCACTTGTGTACATTCCCAGTTTACTTAATACTGGGGAAGCAGTGGCAGAATTCACAGTAGAATCTGTAAGACAGGAGCCCAATTTTGCATTTAGTTTGAGGATGACAAAGAATATGGTACTTTGAGATAGAAATAAATCTACCAGATTGTTAAAAATCTCAAAATTTTAAAAATGTTCAGGTTTTCATGTGTTTGGATGTTTTACTATGTTTGTACTAAGGATCATATATAATTTATTTGGATGGTGAATTATATTTTTTTCCAATATGAATCTTTAAAAAAATACTTATTTTGTTTATAGGTGAGAAGCAGCATCTTTTTTTTTTCCCCTCTCTCTTAAAATTGGGGTAAAAATGGAGTAAATTTACGTTTTGTTTCCTAGCAGTACTAAAGTGAGTAAATCTTGGGTTTGTTTTTTTTTAAACTTAAATTGCTGATAACTTTATAATTATTACATCATTAAGGTCCCAAATACTAGTTCTTTGAAAATGCATTTGGCTATTTATAAGGCAGGTGTTGCTGATCTCTTTGGGACCTGGAACATCAAGTCCTGATCATGGAGAGCTGTGGTGTATGTGTGACTGGCTCAGTGCAGGGGAGCTGGCTGCAATGTGTAGTGATCCTCCCTGCAAGCGAGGGCTTTCGTTACTGACTCTTCCCCATTTCCCACTGGTCTGGGGCTCTCCGGTGGACCTCGCGTGGCTCTGACGAGGCGGCACTCCTGGGGCCAGCTGGTGTCCACAGCAACGAGTTGCAGAGCTTGCTGGGCTCTTGGTGGGAGACGGCTCCAGTCTCCTGAGCACCCAGACAACTCGCCCCATCTCCAGTCCCCTCGGAAGAAATCTGTTATTGCTTCAGACTTAATGAACTGGTTCTGTTGAGGACGGCCACAATGATGTCCCTTTGCAAGCTAAATAGGAAGGCTTTTATGGGTCACAGATGGTTTGTGGATTGCTCTTTGGGAACCTCTGATGCAGAGCTGAGTCCTCGATGGCCTTGTTTTATTTCCTCCTTATGAAGCATCCAAGAGTTGCTGGCTGCTTGCCACACCATGTAGTGCAGTAATGAGGTTTAGGCCATCTAAGGGTAGAGGTCTTTTCAGATAACCTGGTGTTCTGGTTTTCCCTGTACTTTCAGCAAGCTGCTTGAAGATCTAATGACACATTTGGGAATACAGAAAGCAACTTGCACTGTAACTTGCAGTGACCTTATTTGTGCTGTATTAGGTCACTGTATTGTGAGCAGTCACTGCCAGGTCATATTGGTCTCAGTTCTTGATCCCTCTCATGTAGATGAAGTTTTAATGTTTTTCAGTTGATTTAGGGGTGAGTTTGTTTTGGTTTTTTGTTTTTTTTTTTTTTTTTTTTAAGACAACTAGCCAGAAAACTAAAAGCCTGAGAAATGTTTTAGTCAAACATAGAATTAGTTAATCACTGATTCTCATTGATCAATCATGCTTAGTTTCAGGTGTCATTAATGTATTTTCTTAATAAGATATCTAAAAATATATTTTTAAAATAAGTCACATATCGTTTCTATCTCATCAAATGACCACAATGGTATGTTGAAATTGTGTTAGCCAATATACATGTAGTCGGAAGCATTTTATTGTTAAAACAAAATCAACCTGTAGTAGTGTCATTTGTAGAAATTCTTGAGAACAGCTGTCATAACTAATTTACTATCAAAGTGAAAAATTATTGATCTTTAAATACTTTTATATGATAATGTTACAGTGTTTTATTTGCTGATTTGTTTGTTCAAATAGGCACGAGAATTTTAAACATATATTTGAGAGCTGTTATGAAAAGATATCAAAAATCACTTTATGAGGAGATGATAGTTGGATGCCTTAAAAAAAAACCAAAACAACCAACCAACCACACAGCAATCTCTTATCAGTCCAAGAATCACAGCTTCCCCCACCACCCTCAACTACTTAGTCTAAGTTATGTTAGAAAACTTAATGGACTGCTTCTGGAAAAGGTACCAGCTTGGCAGTAAGGACATATGCAGACAATTCCATCTCCTCCTGCCTTCTCTCTCTGTTGCTCTCTTTTTTCCTTCTCCCCCCCTCTCCCCTCACCACTGCACCACTGCCCCCCCCCCCCCCCCCCTTTTTTTTTTTTTCCAATCCTGAATGGTTACTTTCCAAGTATTCTGTGGTTTCAGTTCTTGGAAAAAAACATTTGTTTGCGCCTAGCAGAAGGAGGTCTCTGTCCAACTTGAAGGTGCTGGGACAGCAGTATTGAGAATATTACTGTATAGCTTGCCCTGCTTAACACTGACTTTTTATCCTTCTCTCTCATAAACATGATATATGATAAGTTGAGTATCACTGTTTGGTGAGAAATGTGGATCATTTAATGAGCACAAAATATAAGTCAGAGTAGCTGAATAAATGGAGAGCAATGACAAGAACAGTTTTTTAAAAATGTGTATATGCATATTGTGTGTTTATGTTTATTCATAAAGTATGCTTGCCATGAGAAAAGAGAAATTCCATCTTAAATTCATAAAACTGTTTATTTTCTTACTAGAAATGATTAAAAATTGTACCAATTTCTCCTTGATTATATAAATGTTTTAGTCTTTGCATAAGAGCTGTACTTAACTGAAAAAAATGCAATTGTGCACATAGAGTCCGTCATTAAAAATGCTTTAGGTGACATCTGTGATATTAAAGTAACTCTGCCTGGACTTTTCTGTGGCCCTGAAGCCAAGTGCCTTGGTCAGGCTGTGTCTGTACTAGTAAGCTGTCTTAGCCTCCAAAACTGCAAGGCCACATTTGAAAACTGTCTTTTGGGAACACTCCTTGAACTGGCCTGACTCCCGAAATGTTGTCTGGGTGTCCCATCCACTGTTTAATTTATTATATGTAGACACTGCCTTTTTTCCTAAGGAACCTCAGGTCTTGTAGCTTCCATCTCAAACCAATGAAAAGCTAATCATATGCTTCTGCAGTGCTTAAACCAATGTTTAAAATAGCTTTTCCATTATAAGCCTGAATTCAGCATCAGTTTGCTTTCAGTAACTTTCAACTATACTTGCAAAATAAAACCCTTTCCTGGATTTTAAGTTCTTATTTCATCTCTTTATAAGGAACATATTTTCTGAGTCTCTCTCAAAATATGTTTATTTAAAAGCTCTTCAGTTATTTCCTTATTTACTTTTCAGATTATATCCACATCAAGATGGCTGTCAGATTTAAAAATATTTTGGGGTTTGATCAGCGTCTTACTGATGAACTTGACGTATTCTGCTTTATTGCCTTTCTTTTGTGCAGGAGGAGGGCAGAAAAAGAAGTAAAAATTTGAAAGTTGGGGCGGAACCCAACCAGAGGTGTTCCAACAGTTTTTTGAAAGTATAGAGTTTCAAATGTAGATAAGTATTTGGAGGTTCTTTTGTGCTTAAGTAATCTGTTCCTCTTCGCAAATCGAGGTGGAACAGTTGCTGAGCTGATTCAGTTGGTAGGATAAGAGAAAGGGAGAGATGGTAGTATAAAACCAAGGGAAGAAATATGTAGAGGACAGTGAAGAAAGGCATTTAAAAAAGAAAAGGGGAGGGGGGGGAGGCGTGAAAAAGGGTGAGGCTGAGAAAGGAAAAGCCACACCTCATAGTAGGTGCTGCTACAACAGAGCTTGCTTTATGTAAATGGATAATTGGATACACATAGGCAGCAAGGGCTGTTGTACCTTACTGGTGTGATTTATAGTTGCCTATTGATACTTGTTTGCTTTACAGTTGTAAAGCGCGTAACCTTTTCTTGTGCAAAGGTAAGTGTTAAGTGTATGAGCTGAAGAGGGTTTTGGTTAAGCTACTGTCTTGTAACAATGCAAAATGACTTAGAAATTGTAAATACCTGCTTACTGTCTCTGAAATGCAGTTGGGGTATTCTTACTTTGTAACAGGACAAGGACCAGTGTATTCAGAGGCTGGTTTTCTGCTGTTAAAAGCAATTTATTGAATAACTTAGGATAAGACCTGCACCTTCCTATACATGTGTGAGGAAAAAAATAAAAATACAGCTTTAGGACCTGGACCCTATACCAATTTGTTGTCCTCAAGGAGCATAGGAAGGAGCAAAGAATGGATGTAATCGTAGTACTTGATTACTGAACACTATTGTTGATGATTTCAATTACATTATATTGATTATATGGGTTCTAAAATATTATACTGTTGATAAGCAAAAGTCTGGTCCAGGACAAAGAGACAAGGCAGGAATAATTATTGTGACCTTTGTCTAAGCCTTTCCAAGGCTACTTGCAGTTTCTGTACCGCACCTTGTGTGGAATTATCTTGCAGTCACAGTCTGGTTCTTGAGCAATATGTGGTGTTTCAAATTATGCCATACGCTCTTAAGGTAGTTTCTGTAAGTGCTGGATTGTCATTATAAGCATGCATCAACATAGTCTGTGAGAAAAAATAGTTCTCTGGCTGAATAAATAATATGCAAATAAAATTGTGTGTCTCATACCTAACCAAAATGCTGCATCTGTGATCCCAATCCTATTTACCCAAGAATAATGTAAATTCTCGCAGCCAAAGTTCATTTAACCACAGAACTTTACAGAATTCCTGCGGATAACAAATTGGTGTCTTGCAGGCGGTGTTTGTGTCTTTAAAGTGGGACACTCCTACTGAATAAACTCAAAGAAAACATTTATACAGAAATAATTTTCTCAGCTAGTAATTTTCTGCATTTCTGCTTTTGGAAGCTACTGTGTTTTTGTTAAAATTTTATCCCTTATGGCTCTGCTTTGGTTTCCCCATGATTTTTTCAGGGCACATATAACACTGACTGCAAAACAGAAATTATTGCAGTGTAATACCTTATTTGTTACTTTAGAAAGATGTCCTCATCTTATATATATTTATTCTTGGCAGTTTAGAAGACCTGAAAAGAACCTGAGGTGCTGAGAGCGCCTGTCTTCTGTTTAGATCATCAGTTTGATGTTCTTATAACCTTCATAAGCCATTTTCAGAAATGTAATTTTCATTTACAGGAAGCACTAGTTACAATTCGTCTTCTTGATGTTCTTTGTGAAATGACATCAAACAACGAACAGCTAGAACATCTACAGGCTTTGCCTGGTTTGCTTGAAACAGCTATAGGTGAGTGAAAAGCCACAAGGTTTATTAACTGCTGGATTGCTCCAAATCATGTTGCTCTGTGAATGAAAACATGTTTTTTTACAACTGGTGATAATTATGATTCTGACCTTTTAATAAAATAAGTAAATAGGAGATTGAGCTAATCTACGTTTTCAAATATTTGATTTGTTCCTGGAATTTTTCTGCTTGCTCTGTTGGCTCCTATTACCCAACAGAGCCTTGATTCAACTGTCAGCAATGTGCTATTTATACAGTAAGAGTTGTGCAAAGGACAGCTGCTTCCTATGTTCTTCCACTGGCTAAATGTGTGTGGAAGAATTTCTTCAAGAAGTAGAAAAAGGACTTTTCCATGCTTGTTCCCTTCTGTTTCCCAAATTCCTGAAAACTGAAACTATGTACTGTTTGAATGTTCTTAACCAAATTCAGTGACTTTTAAAGGTCAGTTTGAAAGAATCTTTCTTCCGCTAAGAAACAACAAGAAAAGCGCTGTACAAGAAGAAACCTAACCCAGGATGGTCCAGAGAGACGAGACCCTGTATGCTTGGGGAGGAAGGAGAAGGCTGTGTAAATGTACTGACCTGTGCCTTCCTAAATCAGCACTTTCTCGGGCTGATGTATGCCACTGTCTTCTGAGAAAATTGTAAAAGTTTATGGATTTTAAAGGAAAATATATAATATTTTGGCTAAGAAAAATAAGAAAGAAAATGGGTGAAACAGCCATTAACTGTGACTATTTTGAGATGTTTGGAGGGTTCTAGCTGTAAAAAAGCAACAAACCAAAAACCGAAAAATATCCAAACCTCTATTTTTGATGACAGGTTCATAGTTTTATTGCTTACAGTAAAATGACTAACAAGATCTATTTTGTGCATGCGTGTGTGCTTTGAGGAAACTCAAAGTTATGCATTGTATCATCTGAATGATTGTATAAGTCTTTCAACTTAAATGAGAATTTCAAGGAGCTGCAGATCAGTTAAGTTTAGCAGCCCATAGGCCAGCCTTCTGTTCTCCAGCTGTGCTCAGACTGACTTTTCTCTGCAGCTGTCTCCAGGCTTATGAAATGGGTGAAGGCTAAAACATTGCTACCATGCGCATCCTACGTATTTCTCACATGGCCTCAGTCAACAGGAATTTATCAACTCATATAGTTTCTTTTTAAGACTACCTTTTGCCTACAAGACTCCTTTAATCCTGGTTTAGCAAAGGCGAAAAACTGTGTTGATGTATCACCTTCAGTATTTAGTTCTGAAGGCCAGATGAATAAGGATAGATATTGCAAAAGATTTTCATCTAATAGATATTTTGATGAAGCAGTTTTCATGATATAAACTGAAGAGAAGACATTTCTTATTGGAAATTACTAAAAGATTGTTTGAAAGATCTGAAAAATATCTGAATGATCTTTAACTAAGGAGTGTGTTTTGCTATTTTCAGTAATTGTTGGGTTAAGTTAGAGAGTAATACTGCAGTGTTAATAGTACCTTTAGCAGTGATAACAGCTTGATTTCACAGTGTTTGGGGAATATCACCAGGGAGGTGAATGGTCTTTTGGATTGAGAGGCATTTTGGAAGAATTGCTCTTTGGGCTAATGAGAGAAAGGAGGACTGAGGTTTCCTTTGTTTAAGAGCATGGGTGACATCCAGGAGCAGTTGCTCTGTTGTGTTAATGTGCAGTGTTTGAGGGGAGCATTGTTTTCTCTGGGTTGGCATCATGCATGGAAGGTGTCTGCTTTTCTTCCACCTTTTCCTGTACTTCTCTTTCCAGGTAGGTGCGCTGGTCATTGCATTTGTTGTCTGCACTGCAATAAAATTAGAAGAGTTTTATTTACTTTTTTGGAGGGGTTTTTGTTTTGTTTTATTTTTTGTTTTTAATCCCTTCATTCAGGTGTTCCTCTTAAGGTCAGGCAGAAAGTTTGGGAAGACCATGGAACACCCTCTTATGTGTTGCTGTGTGGGAAAACACAAAGACTGTAAGGCAAGGAAGCACACAAAGCAGAATGCTGTGTGGAGGATGTGAGACACTGCTGATTTTTATGAATTTACAAGAGCAAACAAATTTTTATAAAAGATTTATGTTAAAAGCTATTTTATGATGGCATTTTTTTAGGGGCAGTCAGGAGATCAATTGATTTTTCCTAGTTCAAAATACAGATGAAAAGAAGTGGTAGCTGTCATATGGGAGGCCTCTAGGCCCTATTGCATTTTCATATTTTTAAAAAAACTCCCAAAAATGTAGTTACCTCTTTGTCAGCACAGAGATTTTTTTTTTTCTTCTCCTGTATCAGACGTCTGGCAGTGCAACTATAATGCAAAGACCTATGAAGTTTCTTCTGATTTAAATCCAGGAAATTTAGTGCCCGTTCCACTGTGGATGTTGTCACACCTACAGCTGAAGGAGTATAGGGCTTAATTACCACCCTGTGCTATAACCTGGTTTTGCTACGTCTTTATTACTCCAGTGTAAGTTGAGTGAAGCATCTTGGGGACAGTGGCATGCCAGAGCATTTATTAGTATTGCAGTTTGCTTAAAGGAGAAATACTTAATTTTTAAATACAGGCACAGCCTCTAGTGAATTGGCTTCTCAGCTGTATGAGCTCTCAGGTGTTCACATGATTTCAATTTTTTTTCTGGGTGTGGTCTCTTTGTGGAATGTTGTTTTCACAGATTTTAATTTCCTTTCTCCCCGATTTCTCCGGAGCACTGTAGAAAAAATCCTAGCTGCTGTAAACTAGAATTTACCATACAGGAACATTAGTATTTCTTTAGTAGACAAGACTGCGGCACTGAAGGATTTGTAAAGATGTGTCAAAATGCTAGACATACTCAACATTTTCTCACACTACAGAGCTAGGAACAGACTGGAGAAGAGAGAAAAAAAGTAATTCTGTGATTATTATGTGTTGCTGTGACAAGTTTGAACTAAAGGAAGTTTTCTAAAAAACTTGGTTTTAGCGATATATTTACAGTGTCAGAGTCATCAACAGCCTACAAATTCTGACTCTTCAAGTAGAGACTAATAGCATCAGCCTTCAGACTTAATGTCTGAACTATACGATTTTGTAAAAAGGACCTTGGAGTGACCTTGGGATGGCCTTTTATGATTACACTAGGACAAATTAAGACATTAAGAACACTGCCAAAGTTCTTTTGACATATTGCTGAATATCTGAAATTATGTTGATTAATTTTGAACCTAACAATTAGTAGCAAAGTTCTGTACAAAGTGAAACTCATTTTCATGTGGTAATTAATGAAAATATTCTTGATTTCTATAGATACTCTGAGATTAACTCATCTTGCTGGGAAACAGGCTGTAAATATTTTCACTGCCACACATGCTATGACAGGGCAGGAAGAAATTTCACATCCAGCTGTGGGTTTTAAATCTCATCTCATTCGTTTGATTGGAAATTTGTGTTACAAAAATAAGAAAAACCAAGATAAGGTAAGTTTATACATTTTTCTGGCAGAATTCTGATGTGTGAACAGATATGTATGCCTGACCATGACTTTACAGACAAATATATATTGTTGATCTATAAATAGAGGTTAAAATTGATCATGTAAAGGAGATAGATTTTTATTTTGTGTGTGTGTGTGTGTGTGTGTGTCCATGAATTACTATCACAGGTATGCTAGCTTTTAATAGCAATGTAATAGTGTGCCTGTCTACTTTTTACTTCAGTCTTATAGAATGCAAAACAGTGCCTATTTCCTTTATTGTTTTCATGTTTGCACTTTCTTTGTAAAGAAGATATCTGAGACTAAACCTCAACTTCACATTGAAGGGAAATGGATGGGAATTGTTGCATGAACTTAATTTTAAATCTTTGAATTAGTCTCTGATGCTTTTTCCCTTCCCTTCCCTCCTCCCCTTAAATTTTTTCATTAAAAATGTGGGTCTGCTTTCATCAAATCACTTTGAACCCTTTATCTTTAGAATGTATGAAAAATTAGTTTTGTTTCCACAATGAGGAATAAGAGGAAACAGCAGCATGTTTTTAAATGTGAAACAGTTTTGGTTTTCTGTTTTTTTGTTTTGTTTTTTGTTTTGTTTTGTTTGTTTGTTTGGTGTTTGGTTGGGTTTTTTTAGAGTGATAAAAGATGTGGCTTTCCTCCACGACTTGTTAGACTAACCTAATTTCAGCAAGAAAAGCAGTCATGACATAATGTTGTCTTATGGTTCATCTGAGCACTTCCAAAAATCAATCAGGTTGCTTTTCTCATTTGGCCTAAATAACCATGTAGTGTATTACAGTAGCCTCATCTTAGTGAAAGGTTTCTGTTTCTCTATTTCTGCCTTTTGAGTTTCTTGTTGTAGAGAAACCCTCCATTTATTCCCATATCTTCCTTTTCTCGTAGAAGCGTCTTTCCTTATGGCAGCCTTGTGCTAGAAGAAAATGGCCTTGAGTACCCTTTGTTGTTGATATTTGTTATTGAACGGGGAAATTTGGGATTGTTTTCCTTTCTTTATTAACTTGAATCAAAGTTTTCACATGCTCTCTAGGGAGCAATTTTTAGGCTGAAAAAAATGAAAAACACAGAAGAAAGGTTGTATCAAAGAAGGAGTAAAGGAGATAATGTAGTATTTTTAATTTTCTCATGTAATGTCAATTGAAACCCATGTCAGCAAGTGCCAAAAATAGAGTAATTAATACTGGTTACTCTGAAGGAAGTTGCATATGATGAGATACTCTGAGTCTTAAATCTCTGTTGCCAATCATCTATCAAGACATTGAGTACTGAAAAATCAATCTCTATTAGAAACTTCTGTTTCCTAAATACTTTTTTTTTTGGTGATTACTTCATTTTACAAAGATAATAGATTCTTTTGTACTGATGCCATCAAATCCGGTTTCAACTGCCTCAGTGTCTACCAAGTTAGACTTTCATAGTGGCAGCAACATGTTTTCATAGTGTTTGAGAGGAGCATTCCTGTTCCCTTGGGTTTTTTTTCTGCAGGGTAGAATAATGGAAGACCCGAGGAGTGCTAACCTCTGTCTGATAAATGCTAATAATATGGGCATACAGATGGGAATAGGGTAATGATCCTCCTTCCCCATTCATATGACAGTATATAATAAAAGGTTTTAATATTTCTGAAAAATATTATTATTCCTATTAATCACTTGCATATCTCTTTCTCTGACCACTATGATGTAATATATGTTTCTGTAAGTGAAATACATTTTTGTGGAATACCTTATGACAGTGGAGGGGAGGGGCATGCTTTCATTTTGAAAGGGTTGATTTACTGCTTATTGTTCATTTTCGCTGGGATTTTCAAAGGCCCCTGGAGCAATTAGGCATGCAAGCTTAGTGTTTTCAATGGAAGCTGGGTATTAACTTGCCTTAAACTGCCTGCAAATATTATTGCTTTATGGTGTCTTGAAAGTTACTTAGATTCTTACGTGTGATATCATGGAACACTATTTAAGTGCCGTTGAAACTTTAGAGATGCCAATAGTATGATATCCTGTCTGTACTTTCAGTTTATTTCATACATTTAAATTGGTTCTAATAAATGCACTTCTAATTTTGAAGGCAGTTTCCAGCTATAAACACGTGCTTGTGAGGACAGGGCAAGCAGCCCGTATTACTTCACAGATAAGAAAACTGAAGTTTTGAGATGAGTGAACTGTTCAAAGTGATGCACGGTCAGACCCAGAACTGAATGAAAATGGGGTTAGTTCCTGGGTTTCCACATCTCTCTTCAGAATAGTTATCTCACAATATATGTCTTATTTTATATCTGTTGTTGGGTTTACAGTTCCCTTTCTGTACTCAATCAAAAGTAGTTTAATACAAGGTAGACTGTGGCTTTTTTATGTAACAAGCCAACTGACAAAAGCATCTGAGAGACCTTGGGCTTCACCATTGGCTGTTGTTTTTGTGTGAGTTACCCTGTAAATTGTAGGCAGAAGCTGGGGAAGTGGCTTTCTCTGCAGTCAGTTTAGCTGGTTGCCTAGAATGAGCAGGTTGCACATCATTTACCAAAGGCTCCTGAACAGCACTGTTAGTATTCTGCCTCTAATGAACTGACACTGTCACGCTTGTTTTCTCTAATGTTTTTCTGCAATTTCCAGCCCCAGTAGAGCTCTTTTCCAGGTAACAATGATGTTGCATTAGTGAATGGAGTAATAGCACACTGCTATTAATAAAAACCATAGCCCATATTTTCATAATATAACCTTAGTGTTTGGTGTTGCTCTCCCTGACTTGTACTGAAAACAGAAGTAGTCCACAAAGACCTGGAGCTCAAACAGTGGCTGAGCTCTCAAGTGGACAGAGTCGGATCAGTGTCTTCAGGAGCTTCTTCAAGAGTCAACTGACAACCTGCCTGTTCTCTGGGAGGTGCGTCTTGGGTCAGCCTGTGCCTCATGCAGTGTGTACAGTGTACTGAAGTACGATGGTGCAGTCCTACTGCATGGGGCACTAGTGACAGTTAAAGCAACAGCAAATGCCTGGAGTGGGAGAATAATTACTCTGCATAGACTGCTTCTGCATCTCTCTTTATGGTCTCCACCTGCTATAAGAACAATAATTGCAGGGGATTAGTGCACTGGATTGTTGGCAGTGGTGAAAAATCTTGTAATGCTTTGGAGAGAGAAATGTCTTACTAGTGGTTTATTGCTTATTCACTTCCTGTTTAAAACCATTGTTTGTTTTTAAAAAACACTCTTTAGCTTGTACTCTGTTAGCCTTAGGAATGCATTCTTTACACCTTTTCTTCTTCATAGTTTTACTTACACTATTGTGATAAGTTCTTAAGATATAAGGGAGTGGGCAGACATTTAAGCTGTAAACTGAGATGCAGTTATTAAAATGGGTCTTGCCAGGCTTACTGCCCACTTGCGTGTTTTGTGAGACTGGTATTTGTAAGACAAGTTTCTGATAAAATGTTTGCTTTGGACTGGTAAATGTTGCATATGTACATGTCCTGAGTTGCACACACTCTTGCATGAAGAACAGATAAAACTGCTGTACTTGGTGTCCTAAGTGTTGAGCTAGTTCTCTGTTGAACCTGCCAAGAGCCTGCAGTGGATGTGCAGTTCTCCTGTGCTTTTTTTCTCTGTAGGAGGAAGAGTTGTCAAGAGTTCTTGTTATGCATGTGGAGCAGTCCTGTGGCTTGTATTTTGTTATGTCTCCTTCACAAGGATGCATTGTATGTTTTGGTTAAATATACTGGAAGAAAGGAGGTGGGTTCTTGGGCTGATCAGGGAGTGGAGGTTTTGGCTGATAGTTGATGAATGAAATTATCCGAAGGAAAAAGTGAAAATTCCTCCATATTCCCGTGACCTTGTTTGGCTTGCCTTCTAAATGTCTCTGTTTTGTCATCTGGATAGAATTTATACTGTTTTATCAGGGGGAGGCTTTAGTCACTTCTTTTCCACTCCTACTTGTTAAAGCTATGAAGTGATGGATTCAGTGCAGCTCTTTCTGGTGGTTTAGTATAGTAGAACTGGTTTAATAGTGAATAAAACTTTTGAAAGAAACCTAATGAATGAAGTATAGAGGACATAGTCTTTTATTGTAGAAATTGTGGTAAATAACAGAAGAATTTTGCTTTCGCTAAAAGTAATTAAAGAATTACTTTTACTGAGTTAGGCTAAAGCTGTTATTAAAAATTAGCATTGTTAAAATTATAACAGTTAAGTCTTTTTTGATCACAAGTTAGGCACATGGTTGGCCATTGTGTGGAGTTGGGCAAGCAAAAGGATGGGGGGGTGGTCTGTGGTTAGGCAGAAAAAGGGTTAAGCGAATTGCTCCTGATGAAGAGGAACCTGGACTTTTCTCCCCCCCCACCCCCACCCCCCACCCCCCATCAAGGACCACCCAGACCATGCTGGGGAGGAAGGGGGGGAAGGAAAGCCAGTGGACTTGTTGCTTGGTGTGGCTGTGTTGCATTGTTCTTTGTTTGATTCCATGTTTAAACCGAAGGTTACATACAGCATTGCGGTCTCCCCCGCTCAGCAGCTGTTTTGTGATAAGAAGTAGTGAAGTGGTGGGAGAGTGCAGGGAGAGACAGCCCTGAAGAAACCAAGAAGGAGGAACTGCGCAGGTACAAAAAGGAGGACTGGAGCTATAAAAAGAAACCTCTGCTGGGGCAGGGTGCGTGCCATTGCACCCAGCCCTGTATTCTTGGCTCCACTGACTCTGTCCCCAGTAAAACTTTTTTTTTATATATATATGTGGGCTTGTTTCTCTCAAAATGAAACAAATACAAAATAAATCATAGCAATTAATCTGCACCCCTTTAATTTACAAGACTGTGTACTGGAAGGTGAGATGACTAATCTCTGCCGTATTGTGACAGATGGCGCTGCTCTGCACAACCCTATTACCTTTCCCTAAAACTGTTGTTTATGTTGTGAGGTGTTTATGCAGTATGAGTTGTTTAAAATACTTTATTTAATTGCAAGTATCATCAGTACTTGAATAAGT